AATTAAATTTAAGTATGAACAAAAAATATAATGCTTTTCCCGCATCTGCGGTGCCTAGTAATTCAGATAGTGACTAAAGCAATTCATTTTTTTATGTTTTCAAAATATATGTATTAGGGTATTAATGAATATCTTAATTCCACATATTAATTGATGATTAATGTTAATTGAAAATTAGAATTAAATTCAGTTTTTATTTGATATAATTACGCAGTTTTATTGAAATTTCATGGCGTACGATTATTTCCTTGAATGTCAAGACAAAATACTATTTTTTTAGTGTTTAGTACGATCTTCTAAAAAATAAAGTTGGCAACACTGGGGCACTGCGCCGTACTTGTCACTCGTCACTCGTCAGTCCACATAGACTTTAGCTGTGTAATGCTCGTCCGTCATCGCTACGGCGACACTCGCACGCGCACCCTCGCTTACGAAAATTGATCTCCTTCTATGTTAATGGCTTTTAAGTAGTTTAAATTGCTAAACTTTGTTTAATTCGCTAAAAATATAAATTTATACAGCAAAAGAAATATAAAGAAAAAATAACTATTTTAATATTGATAGAATAATCGCTTAACTCTATTACCAGATTAAGATACTATCATTTAGCTCATAATAAAGCATGTACGTCAATAATTGTTCAATATTAATTTAATCCATAATGTGAAAAAAGATTTAAACATTATTAAACTAAATTTGTATTATAATAACTATAATGAAACTTGAATAATTTTTATATCCTATACAATAAATTTCTAGTTCAACTTTTTATAAATAGAATAGTTTTTAAATAATAATTAACGCAGAATAGAAATGCTGTGTGTTACATATTTATACATAGTAAAATAAAAGCTTCAAAAATATTATAACTGCTTATTATTATTTCAATTAATATTACCGTATATTGTTCTCTTGACAGTTACCTTCTATTTAAATAAATATTTTTTAATTTAAAACTTTTCTCAAAAACTATCCGAGATATCTTAAACCGTATACCTATGACCCGGTGGACTTCGTACCGCCCCATAATCAAGAAATATCTGTTAATTGTTACCTCAATGAAGTTAATTTCTTAATTATGTACAGATGACTCGAAAGACAATGATCTGTCTTCTTCTTATATATTATATGTTTAAACTAATACTACATATGTATAATAGTAAGTATGTATATCTGTTGGCGCAAGCGCCTGTTAAAATTGTGAAGCAATTTAGTATATGGAGGTTACGGAACGATTTAAATGTAAGGCGCTTTGTTTATTGTAACAGAAGTTAAAGAAAAATTACGAAACTCACAAAGACATGGAATAAAAAATGCAGAACTAAACTTAGATCCTATATCTAAGAGTACATAATTTTCCCGAAGTTTCCTAAAAATATCACTTGTTTTGTTTTATTTTATTAATTTTTGATACACACGAACACGCGTTCGCTTCGCAGAGTAAGCAGCGCTCTATATGATACTTTATCTATATAGTAATGCTAACCCGGAACTCTTAAAATTTTAATATGTGTTTCGCATACTTGATATATTATGAAATATACTTAAATGAATTCTTTTTTCTTTTTTTCAGAATTTGCAGTGTTGTTGTTAATGCACCATGAGATATATTTTGTTGGAAATATGTAATAAATTAAATAATGATTTTATGAAAAACATTCTTTTTTTTGTTTAAGAAAAGGTATGTAAGGCACTACGTGTATGTATATATAGGTATATCTTATTTTACAATGATTGTATTTCATAAAATGTATTTGACATTTTCCCATTATAACCACACCTTAATATCTTGTACATCAATTTGAAAATAACTTTATTTGAAAAGGGTTTCATAGCAAGTGACGTAGATGTGGAATCATCCCATGGCAACCCTTTGAACTTACGGACTATCGCCTTTACAAGGTAAATGTATAAAACAATATATCTGTCGACTTAGTGAAGCATAATAACTAATGTCTTTGATCGAGTGTTAAATGAAATAGATATAATATATACGGCACGCACCTACCTATACTTCACTTTGATGTGATCAATCAATGACTTCTGTTTTCTGGAAATGTTTTATTAGTTATTATTTAATATTATATTTTAGTATATTTAAATTTAACATCAAGTTTACTAGAATGTTTAAAAGAGTTCATTGAATCTCGATAGCTTTTAAAATTCAAATCACTAAAAGTAGAAAATTTCTATGAAATAAATGTTCTTTCTCAGTGTCTTCTTGGTGTCACACAAAGGAGATCGAAAGTATTGCATACAATTCTGGGCCCACAATGTAAAAACATGAAAATAATATTAATTAAAAGGTTCAAAATTAAGAGTTTCTTCATTGAATTCTATAGAAATTGGCAATCAGATAGCTGAGTTATTGAAGGTTCAGTAAAAGTGAGGTTATATTGCATTATCTTTAAGAGTTAGATGAATACACTTAAAAGTATGTGAAAAATAATAATTTTATTTAGAAGAGAATATATAACAAGGCAAGATATACAAATATCGTTAACAAGTATGGAATTTTACGAGGAACAGGGGTAGTGAACTATGTGATAAAAGTCATAAAATAAAACAAATAATTTTAATGGAATATGTATTTTATTCCTCTTCAGTAATAATTACAATATCGACTAGGAACTATGCAAGGGGTACAATGTTACTAGTTGCTATCCCACAATTCACACAGCGATCAATCGTTTCAGTAATATCCAATCCACAAGCCGGCGAAATAATTCAAATTAACAATTCCAAGTCAAACGTGCAGGAGACCGTCGGTGTCCAATGTGAAAGCAAGGGTCGTAAAACGTTAGGCGGATTCGGAGTCCGTAAAAAACAAAGCAGTGGTCGTTGAAAACGTAAAATGATCGGGAAACCACTCGAAACTTATCGAAAAACACGGAACAAGTCAGACTCAGATCACTCAGATAACAATACATCAGCTGGTATAGTACATAATTGTTAAGTGTCAATGTTATGTTGCCATAGACTATATACTGAATGATTTCGATCGATATGGAATCTATAATCGAAAAGAATGTTTTAAAATAATATTTACTTAATATTACTATTATATTAATACACGTTATTAAAAGTTATTTTTATTGAATTATAGACATATATGGTGTAGTTTAAATGAAGTTACAATAAGTTTAAAACTAGGAGTGAAGTTTTTATTTTGTAGTTAAATAATCGAATAATCATTTTTATTTCATTAATCGTTAATCGATTGCTTCATAAAAACTGTTATTTGCATATTTCTCCGCTTGTAGATTGAGAATTTATGCAGTATTTTGGTATTGCATACAAAAAAAAAAATAAATTAATTAATCAATTTTGAACTCATTACATTTTGGGCCCACCAGTTTCCATCTCCTTTAATTATATTTGTCTAATTTTGCTTAAAATTTATTTAATATTTTTATTTCTTGCGAGTTGCGACGGACAAACTTCTTATTAAATTGTATATATCGAGTATGTGCGCTGCGTCTACTGTTCGTGCGTCGTCCGCACACCTGTAACCCCGCTGGCCCCCGCTAGTCGCCGCTGACCAGCTAAGCGGGCACTGCGACTCAGTGTTGCTAGATGAGTCTATTTAGCGCCAATGGGGCTATCTCCCTTACCGAGCTGCGATATTATTATATTCGCTAATATTTAATTAACAAATCATTTTTATGCAGCAAAAAAAGATTTGCAACAACGACACTCAATTTCAATAAGTTTTATGTATATGGTATTACATGGATTTTAAAAAGTTAACTGTCTCGCAATATATACAGGGTGACTGGTGAATTACTATCGATATTTGAGGACGTGATATTTGACGATCATATATGACAAAATAAAAATTACTATAACATAAATATTAATAAACTTCTAAGTAAAGTTAACCAAAAGTTATGTAATTAATTACGCATCGTATGAACACCCTACAGATTAGGTATACACACACACTCACACAGACGCGGCGGCGGCGTAGTGTTGTATCAGCACGCCGCCGCACGCGTCCACACTTGGAACGTGTACAGACTTTATTTATTTATACGGAAATTATGTCAAATATTAAGTACCTATTTTTTTTACATAAATCGAATGAGAATCATGTACCGAGTATGCTCCTTAAAGGTTTATCCTCAAAGGTTTATCTATAAAAAAATATTTAATATTAAAAAAATATTTAAATACTGTTATTTTATATTACTTAGAAGACAAAATTTTATAATACTTAATTATTTAATATTACTTCTTAAAACAAAATGCAATCAATAAAATGAAAAAAATCTTAATTCGAAAAAAATAATATTCTGGTAACACTGCTACGACGGGCACGTCAGTGACTGACGGTCAGTCCATAGATAATACACTATCTTATTAGAAATTATGGGCCCCGCTAGTCGCCGCTGGCCAGCTGAGCGGGCACTGCGCCGTGTTCGTCAGTTCACATAGACTGTAGCTGTGTTACGCTTGTCCGTCATCGCTACGGCGACACTCGCACGCGCACTCTCGCTTACGAAAATTAATCTCCTTCTGTATTAATAGCTTGTAAGTAGTTTAAATTGTTAAACCGTAATTCGCTAAACACATAATACCATTTGTGTCATATATTGTATATCTTAATAATATCTTTAATAGTGATAAGTATATTATAATTATACTGCCGACTTTATTAGTTTAATATCTCCGAAAAAGACTTACTGACTTGACGAAGGTAAAATTTACAATAAAATAATTATTTATTATTCGTTTGTAAAATGAGGTATATCTAATTATAATATTTCTTAGTAAGTATACATTCGTATTAAAAAAAGAAGATAGTAATATTAATTATTACTTAAAATAATGAATTCCAAAGATTTTTCTTGCAAGGATACACTTTTGTAGTATTATATATATGTATATAGGTAGATAAATATAACAGTTATGTCCGTTTTATTATTGTCAATAGGAAATATTTTATTGCATTTCAATTGTTATTTTCTATAATATAATAAATTGTCTAGTGGTTCGACATGGAAATCGAGCAAGGCATACGTCAACGACGAACTGGCGGCAAGCTGCGAACAGACGGCAAGGAAGTGGACGACCGGTCTAACAAGGGGGTGAAACAGAGATTTGAGGTAAAGAAGAAGTCATTGTTAAGTGATACTTTACAGAAGACACTTACTGGAATGAAATTTGCGATAGATAGAAATAATAAAGATGAAAAACAATACTTGGAGAAGGTCAGTGTCTAAAATCTAAGTTATTAAATGTTTAATAGACCAATTCATACTTATTTCTTTTCAGTTTAATAATTAGCGATTGTTAAATAGATATAAGTTATAGTATAGAATAAAGGTCTTGTATTCTTCACAGGAGCTTCTTGCCCCTTCAACACATTTTACAGAATTTAACGAAGTATTCCTTCTTGGCAGAATAACATGGTCTTTCAATTACCGGTACAAAGTTCCCGATGATTTATTAAAAAAAGTACAAGACGCTTGAGTGGAAATTATCACTGAAATTTTTTTGTCCGTTCCTACCTAATTTTCGTGGCTGTTAAGTTATTATTTAAGTATTTATATAATACTTTTTTTTCACTTAAAGGATCGATGATATCCAGGACAACTCTTTAGTTCGTTGAGGAAAACCAACAGCACATTTGGTCTACGGTGTTCCCTTGACCATAAACTCCGCTGGTCAAGTAATCGTGGTGTCAATGAAAATAGACCTCGAGTTAGCACCAGATGCTTCGGTCTGATTAGAGACGAAGACGAAACTACTCAGCATTCCATGGATTCACCGTGCGGGTGCCGGGTCCATCGCGTTGCAGGGAGAGGAGCTTCAACAGTGCCTGGGACTTGCGACCCAAGTGTAGGTTCAAGGGGCCCCTTAACTAACGCGCGTTATACGCTCACCTCCACTGTCCAAGCTCCTCTCCCTACCTAACCAAATTTGAAAAGAACCTACTAGGGCTGCCTTCGATATACGTTCCAAGAATGCATTAATGTGAGTTCTGGACAAGCCCAAGTCCTTTAGTAGGTTGTAGAGAGATTTCGCTGTTATACCTCTCGCTCCCACCTCTACCGCGTACAAATCTACTACGAACCTATTTCGAGTGAGTTCGTTTGTGAGCTCGTAATATTTGTTGACCTTGATGGTATGGTCTTTGGGGATGTTGGTACATACCTACTACATATTTATTAATGTAATGAAGAATTAGCAGAAAAACCTTAAAATATAAATTGTAGAACGAAATCCTTTCATAAAGTGTAGTTGATAACTGTAGAAATTTTTTATGATACAATTATGTAGACTACGTATAATAATTATATGAATAAGATATATATTTTTTACAGAAAGTCAAGGGATTCGCGGATGAAATACACGAAATGTGGCAGGAACAAGGCACTGAGATTTATTGGGAGCAAACTTCATTTGCCCCAGTGAGGATCAATACAAAAAGATGACACATATGAGTAATATATAACTTATACATTTTTCTAACCTCTATGTTTTTACAAATCGGTTCTATATAAATATCATTACTATCAGATGAACGAACATCTCACTAACAATAGTATACATTAAACAGACTTTATATTTCCAACAATTTTTTAATTTATCATAACTATTTTAGAGAAATTTAATTTAAATGTGAATATTTTTCCAATTAACGATAATTATATTTTTTATTTTGTTTTTAATAATTGTTTATTATATGAATTTAGTCAAACCTTAAACGGTAATCGGTAGAAACGAGAATATACATAAAAAATATTGAAAAAACCTTTTTCCTTAGAAACCGCTACAATTATATTACTTGGAGTCAGATTACTACAAGTGGCCAGTGATCATGACAAAACCTATGACGATCTAGTGCGACTTCTGGGACACTACTCTTAGCTTCGAGATGACTATTGTAATCTTCATGTGAAGGAGGTTGGTTTTGTGTTCCTAATATAATTATTTTATATGATCTTCGAAAAAAATATTATATCATATTCATTATGTGTATTCCAGTTAAACAGCAAGGGCAGTTTCTCTGAAGATTTATCAGAAGGAAAGTTCACGTTACCCATCATACATGCATCCAAAACATTTTTACGAACAAACGAAGTTTTACGTGAGTACACTAAAACTCAGTTACTAATTGTATACATACGAGAACGTATTTGTGTTGGTCAAACATAGCAGTTTTTACTGTAACCCTTCGATAAATACGGAATCATTATCTCTACTAGTATTATAAATGCGAAAGGAACTCTGTCTGTCTGTTACGCTTTCACGCCTGAACCACTGAACTGATTTTAATTAAATTTGGTACAGACATAGAGTTGACTTTGAGAAAGAACATAGAATAGTTTTTATCCCGGACTTTTGAAAGGTTCTTTTGGAAACTCGATATAACCGAACTCCAAGCGGGCGAAGCTGCGGGCGGAGAGCTAGTTCTTCATAATTGCATCAGGTTATTTCATAAACTTAATGAGTTACATATCAATTTAAAATTAAGAGTTTTGAGAACTTCGTGTATTTTTTTTACTCGTTTCATGAGATCAGGTCCGCTTACGAAGTTGCTTCCTTGATCCTCTGTTTCCAATAAAGATTGGTGTTAATTTTTGTCATTATTTATGGTGTTTGGTAAATAAGTATAACAGAACCAGATTTTAATTCAGTGATAGTAAAGTTTTTTGTGATCATATTTTTATTACTATCAGGTATCTTACCACAGCGCACCCGTGATGTTGACCTGAAGAAGTACTGTATGTGTTTGTTGTAGAAGGCGGGCAGCATACAGTACACGAGAAACAGACTCAGTGAACTTGATCGAGAAGCTCGGGCTGAGGTGAATCAAGTTTATACACATAGTATTCATTGAAGTATAGTTGTTTTAAATTGAAGTATACAACCTAGGTTTCTTACAGGTCGCCCGTTTAGGAGGAAACCCACTACTGGAAAAATGTTTGGATGATCTCAGTAGCTGGAAGGATGATGTAATGATCAAATAATTGTTACACTATTTTGTTACACGGGACTCTGTTAGCCAATAATATTTAAAAGATGTGGGGTACAAATACTCGCAAGTCTTCAAAATATATTTTTGTTACATTGTTTATCCGATATTATAAGAATATAAAAGCATTTTTTGTGTTTTTACTATTTCAACAAATTATTTTAATTTATTTACGCTTTATAGATGTACAAGGTTATAATTCTCCATAAATTTCCTATATAACAAGATCCTTCCCAATTTATTAAATATAATTTATAAACGTTCTTGTCACAATAATCAATGTGGGCTTAACATATATTACTTCCTTTTGTTTACAGAAAAAAATAATGTAAGTAATTGTGTGATGATTCTTACAAGCCTTAAAATGTAATGAGAATGTAAATGTAAAATTATATTTAATATTTATTTACGTATATTACACTCTATACAGTCACACTACAAGAAAAATAACCACATGAATAAGTGATCAAGTTGTTAAAGTTTTACAAGGGCTATCATATAGATGAGAATTTAATCCAATACAAAAATACATAATTTTTTAAACAATTAATTTAATCATTTTACTTTTGTTGGCAAACTAAATCATTTTTAAATATGTATTATTATATTAATAATTCAGATAATATAACTATTTAGTGACAAATTTATACATATAAAGTAATGGCGCAGTATTTCATCAATTTCAAGTCTGAGTATAAATGACAACAAAAAGGTAATCTTTTCTTTCAAATTAGAATTAATTCTCTTACTATACTGATTTGTTTTATGTTAGTATCAACGAGGATTGTATATTTGATCCCACAAATAGTATTTAAATGTATTTTCATATTTATCCGTACCTACATTATGAGTTAACATTTGAATGATAGCATTAATTTGATTAAAAATTATGTCATAAAAATATAACATTTAATTTCAATAAACCTTGTTACCAGCAGACGAGAGAGATTCAACAAATGAAATTATGTTTCAGCGAAGTTAATTCCACAGACACTTAGCCGAGAAGCGGTTTGTTATCTCGCTTGAAATGACTTCAATGTATCACAGCAATGCAACGTAGAATGTAATATATTTTAATAAATCGTAAACAAGGATTAACCGTTACTACGATACATAACATTAAGTTTTGAATACATTCCGTCGTTGCGTATAAAAATCTTATCGATTTAATATCGTAATTTCTCTTAACCTATCCTTAAGTCATGTCATTACTAATTACTTGTTGAAGGTCGATGTCTATTACTTTATTATCTACTTTACTTATTACCCAGTATGGAGTTAGACTAAGGTTTTGTATGAAAAGCTTCAGTAATTTCCAGTATTATTCTGTTCTGCTTCATTAGTATCCGTAATAGATATCAATTAGTTCCTTTCATAAACACAAACACTCCACGTCGTGTCTACTGTCACTAATACTGTTATTGTTTACACTTTACACTTGAGTTAAAGTAAAGCTGCCAATACAAATACTTAACAACAAGTCTTATAATGAAATGCTAAATGAAAGTATGAATTGAAGTCTTTTTTTAACAAGGTGTTTATACCTTTTATTCAATTTGGTCATTTTTTCGTATTTATTATTGTTTTTCTCTTATTATACTGATGATTCATGATACCCTTTTACGATGATCACTGATAACTTAATAAAGATATAATTAGAGGCTTATATGTATTCATGCTTGAATATTAGGTAAATGTAAGAAGGTATTTAGTTAGAATGAAGTACCGGGGAAGTACCACCCTCTCGCAGAAAATCGGCGTAAAGTAGTCTTTACAAGACTGCGTTTCGTTCGGTGAGTGAGAGAGCCGGTTGCCCTTTCCCTTTTTCCACCCTTTCCTTTTCCTCCCTTTCCCACCTTTTCTTCCCCCTTTTCCCCAATGAAGGGCGGCAACACATCCGCAATTCCACGTTGCGGATGTCTATGGGCGATGGTCACTACCTACCATCAAGTAGGCCGTCTGCTCGGTTGCCCCCTTTTCCCATAAAAAAAAAAAAATAATAAATAAATAAATAAATTGATTTTTGACACTCTAGTAATACAGATATATCTACTACAGGAAAGAAAATTAAATTGTTTTGGACTTATTTCATACAATACTGTATTTATGAGACAGCTGAGTTATTACGTCTTGCGTCTTTAAAATAGTAATTTTAGAAATTCTTGTTCACTCTTATCAAAGGTATAGCCGTATAGATTCCAAAATGTTGGAGAAGTTATCACACTGACTGACCATACTGACATTGAAATGTAACTAAACAATTCAAAGGAATTTGAAATAGTTTGAAAGAAACCCATTTTATTGGTATATCATACATCGCCTACTTAATTTACATTTATCACTATAAATTTAACACAATAAATTAATTAAAACATGTATGTATAAAATGTATATTATATTTAAAAATTATATTAGAAATATTAAAAAAATATATTTTTTTAAATTACAATTTAATTACCTCTTTGCCTTAATAATATTTTTAAATATTTATCATAACTACGTTTAATTTCAGTGAAGATTTTGGTTGTCAAATTTAATTTAATATTTTCAACCGTTTTGACATTAATTCACAGCAATGAAGATAAAAGCATTCTTTTGTCTTACAAACGAGATTTTATTCAGTAATTATGAATTATACCACACGTAATGAAACCGTATTGACTAGCAGGTATATCCATCGCAACGTCTTATTTAAGCTGTAATAAAAACACAATAAAAAAGAAAAACTTTTCAAAATACCATTTTAAAACATAGAACCATATTTTAGAAATCAAAATTAGAGGTAGAAAGTAGAAGCTATGTACATATATAAATAAAATTTAAAATGGAGATTCTCCCGAGCACTTACTCTCCACCGCACAGTGTCAGTTATACATTTTACTTTAATTTAGTATCATATTAGTAGATATTTTCTTTTTTAATCTGAAGTGGTCACCCTAAATATAATATTGTTACAATGCTAGCTCAACAAGGGCCTTTGTACTGTATACAATACATGTTATACATAAAAAGATATGATGACGACCTTCAATATGGAATTGATTGAGGGGGATTGACATGAACATCTTTAGAATAGTCTTAGCTGACCTACTCTAGTTAAGGTTTTAAATAATTAGGCTTAGTGTGGTTTCATTACACAAACTGTTAAACTCAACATGTAAAAACATTGGGAAAAAGTCACTACTGGGTTTCGATAATGATACATAAAACTTAACAACCTGTAAAGAAGTATTAAATTTAAATTAATTAAAAATGTTACGAAAATTAATCAGTTAAATATACATTAAAAGCAAAATTCAATTTCACGAACAGGAATCATGTTACATTAAACGTTTCTCTATAACTTACCGTTCATCAAACATGACTGACATACATAAACATCTCTGATACTAAAGTATTTAATAACAAAGGACTTTTGCATGGTTTCATAATTTGTGTATACAACTTTCCTTGAAT